ATGCAGCTCTTATTCGAGATCTAGATGTGGCCTCGAAGGTCTACTTACACACCAAAACATCTGCCAGAATGGGAAAAAAAAGTAGCATCAAAAGATCTTCTTTGTATCAGGAATTCACGGAGCCTGTGGATTCGGAATTATGGATAGAGTGGATGGGTCGATTTGCCAGATTGAGGCGATTTTAGGTGACCTGCTGTCTTCCCCTAAACCTCGGAAGTGGTTGGACGATCGGATTACAGATGCAACGAGATGCCTACGCATGGCATGAGTTCAGCGAACCTCTTGAACTTTTGCGTCGGCTTCTACGATGCCTCAGTCTGTCCAATAACGGGACAAAACCACATGTCTCCGAGGCAGATTTATCGGTTGTCATGAGCCTGTACCGCGTGGTATGTCTATGCATGCTATGATACGATCGACGATAATGGGGCTAGAAGAATTGTCACTGGGCCAACTGTCTGCCTATCAGATGCGTCTGGCGATTCCGTGTGTCTGCACTGAAAGCTGCTGGCCATAAAGGCGGCATCATCAGATTTATCCAAAGCGGGTTCCGCATCGAGGCGTTTCAGAATGGCCTTCCAGTTCTGGGTGAGCATAATTGTCCTGACAACAGGCGCCCGAATTCCACAGCCATACAGTATTAGATTCCGTGGCTGGTTACCAGCATCTTTACCGCTAGAAGGGACGATCAGCGTCGATTCAATCTTATTCTGACAGTGAAATGGCCCTACTTGTTGAGTTGGAGGCTTAACTCTGAGAAAGAGAGTGAAATAGAAGAATTTGTAACAGTTGCATTCTGGCCGGACGAGGCTTTTAGAATGTTGGGATTAGATTGACTCTCCACCAAACTAGTTGGGCATATTTTATGAAACTCTCTACCTGAAACTAACGACCTACTTATCACTGATTTGTTAATAATGTTGCCTTTTTACAGATGCGAGTCATGCTGGCAGTTTTTCTCTGCAAGGGTGAGTACGACGGCTTAAGTGCCCTTTATATGGTGCTCATTTTAATCAAGTTCTACCTGTCGTCATGTTTTTATTGTGTATAAACTTTAGTCAGCTTTGGTCGCTTAATGTGATTGATGATTAATACCAAATTTCGCCATAATAAAAGAGGTAGGCCTCATGATGAAATTTAATTTCACACAGCTTTGATTCTCAAGAGGTGTTCTCCTCCGAGCCAGGTTGGAGGGCAATTGCGACCTCCCCTGGGACTCCTTAGCAGCGGTACTCGAACTAGGGTGGGGCAGTGTATATTATCAACATGTGACCGTTAGGTCATACTGCCACGAGTGCCAATGGGCCAGTGGGCGGAAGTCTCTTTAAAGGCAAGCTAGGCCTTTCTTAGATCACATTTTAAAATGTGGAATTTTTGCTGAACTAAACATTTATTTAAGTGGGTTGACCTCGTTGTCGCA